GTCCTTTTCAGGACCATTGTCTCAGACGTGAGTCCAGCTGTAGTCATCGGTTCATAGTCACTCAGCCAAGTCTGAAAACGAGTTGGGTATCTAGCCCAGATATTCTTTCCTGCTTTTAATAGTAATAACTTAACTTTTGGAAGAGGTAAATTGATACAACAGATGAGACTGTAATAGTTTTCTGCTTGTTGTAAAGCTATTTCAACTGAAGAGATAAAATGCAAGCTATAATTGCTTAAGAGAGTATGAATACATCCCCAATACATTTCAATCAAATAATCTGGCAATATCAATACTTTTAAGTAAAGAACTAACTATGTATGTGGTGTAAAGATCATATCTTTCAATTTTTCTGTATCTTTGATTGTGAACTAAAATGTGAAAAAGACTGCTTGAGAAACAAAGGTTCGTGGAAAGGATTGCTGCATTTTGAAAAAGCAAGTTATCAACACTTAACTGTAAATGCTGTTCACACTGTTGTTTGTTGAAGGACCGGTAGAGGTTACTGAATACAAGCTGGAGCCAGGGAGTGTGTAAAATAAAACCTGGATTTGGTTGGCAGCAGGTAGCTAATTGTTGTATGGAGTGATAACCAGGTGTTGATGACAGAGGCTTTCTGTTGCCAACAAAGTTGTATTTGCCTCATAGGTAATTGAACAACTTGTGTGTGTGAATGCGACAGCCAGCCTTTGGACTGCAGTAAAAGCAAGAGCTGTGTTTGACTCTGAAGTTAAAAAAAACTGAAGCCTGAAAAAAGACAGTTTATTTTCCCTCACCAGCTACTGTAAGCTGTTGCTTTTAACCAATGAGTCAGAGATGCTTTGTGTTATGAACCAGTCACTACGTGCCTCCTGCAGGCAAGTGAAAGTACCCGGAGAAAGGAGAGACCATTGAACAGTGAACCCTGGCAAGCAAAATGATCAGTTTGGGACACTGTGTGGACTGGGACCAGTGAACTGCCTTCCTAGTTTGTCTGTCCACTAAAAAATCTAACTGTATCTGTCTGCATGTGTGTGTAGGGGGCTAATACAAGGACATTACAGTTTTAACAGGTAGAATTATATGTCGATGGTTTTTAACCTGTGGATAGAAGATGGTTATTTAGTTCTTGTTAAGTCAAGAAACCTGGTCTGTGCTTTCTATCAATCTAAGTCTAAAATTTTTGTGTATTTTTCCTCCATGTGACTCCATACACACAGCAATATGGTTGACTCCTGTCTCCCTCTAGGCAAATAGGGATGGGCAATAAGTGGTGGCTTAGCCAGCAACACCCTCATCCCGTAAATGAATATTGAAAATCTTAAAATGGACTTCAACTATCAATACTACTGTAAAATCCATTGCAGCACACACAACATTCAATTTTTCATTCATCATGAACAGTTCAGAGACTGATCCTTAATTTTAAACATGTATCTTTTTGGACACTTCTCTTAATTTGTGTGTGTGTGATGCTTTGAAACCATTAAATTCATGCGAGTCAGAGAGAAAGGTATGCACAAGGGAAGGGATCCTTTTAAAATTATCCTCATTGTGGCCACCCAAGGGAGCAGGCGAATAAAGGAGCCAGTTCACCCATCCTCAGGTCCCAGGTTACTCACATTTCAGGTAGAAGTGAAGAATGATGCCACGACCAGGAATCACAGTATGTGCAAATGTGATGTCCTTTTGACCTTTCTCATAGTCCCTTTGGAAGGAGTTGTACTGCGGCCATCAATCAGTGCATTGTATCAGCCCCAGGAAGAGCAGTTCCATGTGAGGAAATCTCATAAATATGGATCTTCTGGGCTGCAGTGCCAAAAAAAATCTCAGCATTTATGTTTTGATTGATACTGCTGTGCGAGACCCACACATTGACAACTGGTGGTACAAGGTTAAAGCAGCTATAACATAGAAATAGCAGTCTAAGAAAGTTGCTTGCTTATCTTTTTAGTGTAATTAACAATCTGGTGAAATTGCATTTTCAGAGACTGCTGTGATTCGGTTGGTGTATTTTTAATTAAATGAGAAAAATGGGCATTAGCCAGTGGAATGATATCTCTTGTCATGTATAAATAAGTGCTATGAAATTTACAGAATTGTTACAGCGCAGAAAGCCATTCATCCCATCATGTCTGCGCTGGCTTTCTGAATGAGCAACTCACTTAGTGCCATTACACAAACTCTCCTCATAACTCTGAATGGTCTTCCTTTCCAGATAAGAGTCTAATTCTTGGGTGCCTCAACAGAACCTGCCCCCACCACACTCTCAGGCAGTGCGTTCCAGACTTAATCACTCATTGCATGAAACTGTTTTATTTTTCACGTCACTTCTGCTTCTTTTGCCAATTACTTTAAATCTGTGCCCTCTCCTCCTCACTCCCTTTGTGAAGGGAAACAGTTTCTCCCCATGAGGATGATTTTTGTTGCTTGGAATAGCTCTGACAGAAAACCAATGCAGCAGTTTCTGTTGGAAAGCAGAAAGGTTATTGTCATCTCCCAGCACAATCTGGGAGAATTAATATTTCATAGTCAGGGACGCATGGAAGCCGAGCACTTGCGCTGGTCCAGTGCATCTCATTCATCAACAAACTGAGAAATTTACCTTTGAAAATACAATTGAAACACAAAAGGGAAGAACAAAACTCTTTTGCCTCAGGGTGGTAGCAGGCCTGAAATGAGATGACTTTAATATAAAGATGGAATTTTTGTGTGCCTCCTCCATCTTCCCTCTTCACTACATTAACCCCACAAAAGCCTACAGGTGTCTTGTGTTGTTCTGAGTTACACTAACTGGCATTACCACAGGCATGAAATGAAATTTGTATCCCAGTGTGCCTGACCAGCAAATTAATTAGTGTTGCTCCTCAAAAACTTTTACTGGATAATGCAAGCAAGGATACAGCACCTTTGACCTGAGCCTGTGATCTATATACAAGGTAGATAGATTGCCACTTCGAAAATGTTTTTTGGAAACTACAATTTATGTAGTTACAACTAAAATTTAAAAGCATTAAAGATTTGGAAATTTGAGATGTGCGACACATGTGTTTAAGAAGTTTAAAGTTTTACTGTAACCCTCTCCCTCATCATTTCCTGTGATGTGTGTAGTGTATGTAGGAGTCTGGTAGCTCAGTTGGCTGCATGACTGGTTTGCAATGCTGAGTGATGCCAACAGCATGGGTTCAGTTTTTGCATCAGCTAAGGTTACCACAAAAGACTCTTAAATCTCTCTACTTGCCTGAGGCATTGTGACCTTCAGGCTAAACCAAGGCCAGCCATCTCTCTCTGACAAGAGAGCAGTCTTCTGGTACTATGCCATTTTTACCTTTATTCCCATATTAACAAACATAGATTTTTATGACAAAAGACATTGGAACTGTGCTGATCTGTTTTTTGCAGCAATTCTTTAGAATGTTCCACTTTTTCTGCTGTTTTCTCATTGAAATGAAACGTACATTTTTAGATTGTTAGCAACTCTTTTATGTAGTTTTCTCATGAAATGTTTTTTTTGCCTGAATGCTCTTTGATATCTCAATCACATATTTGCTTTGTTGATAGGAGATGGGGTCTAAATCAGGTTTATGATGTGCTTAGCATCTTTATGTTGTTGACACGCAGTATTGAAACATTTACTAGAAATTGAAACTCAGAGTTCCTCTTTTTGCATCTGATGTGCACCATCAATCTTATTGGTTAGAGTTGCCCTGTAGGTACACAGAACACATGCCCATTCTTCTATGTAACTTCAAACTTCTTTTCCAGAGAGGTTTGTGAACTCTTGTAGTATAAGCTATGCTTACTGTGGTCTCCTCCTTCAATCACTGAGCAACTCAACTAGTTGTTCATAAAGGGCCACTTGAGAATCTAATTTTAAAGTATTTTTGCTTGTCTTATTGTAGAGCCAGGAGAATCAGGCTGTTTCTTACCAGCTTTTCATTACTTTCTGCATCCCACCCCCACCATATAGTCCACACTTCTTTGTTTAGACTGACCTTTGTGCTCCGTTAATGCATCACCCAGCCCTAGACTGCGCTGTGGGGTCCTGAATGACTAAAGCAGCATATCATTATTATCTTGGCGTTAAAAGTGGCTGTTCCTCTCTAAATCAGAAGGATATTCCTCTTCCATGAGCACAAAGCCAAGGCTGACAGTCCAGTGCAATACTGAGAGGGTGATACACTATCGGAGGTTTCCGCTTTTACATGAGACATATAGCATGACCTTCTCAGGTAGATGTAAAGGATGCCATGGCACTGTTCTAAGAAGAACAAAGAATTATTCCTGGAATTTGTGGCTGAAATTTACCTCAAGGGAACAGATTCTCCATTCAATATCACCTTGCTGTTTGTGGGAGCTTACTGTGCACAGATTGGCTGCTCAGTTTCCAACATTACCTTTCAAAATTACTCCACTGGTTGTGGAACTTTTGTATTTGAATCTCTTAATGTACTGAAAGGTGCTATATCAACATACGTTTCAATCTTAATGAATTGGACTGCGCAATTAATCATCATCTAGCCACCGATACCATAAGGTACAAGTACCATATTTTGTACATGAATCACACTGCCCCTCCCATCTTCATGCACAGAAATACCTCGCTGTGTCTGCATTCCTTCCTTGTCTGCTGCTTTTCTACATCATTGCCAAAAAATCAGTCATGTTTTATGTATCATTATTTTTCATTTGCAAGCCAGGCAATTCTGATGATAAATATCCTTTGATAGATCCAGCAGCACTAAGGCAATAAAGTCGGTGATGAAACATGCTAGCTCAATAAGGATGATAAAGTTATCTGATCAACAAACACTCCTAGTCCCTGCTGAGTGATCATTAGTGGCCACATGCACCTGTATTTCAAGCAGCAGATACTGACTCAAAACAAGAGTTAAGGAAAACAACATGAAAGTGAGAAGACAGGCTTTTGTTCCCTGCAAAATGTTAACTAAATGAGGATGCCATTTGCAGCTTTTTGCAAGGTGTGATTTTTTTTCTCAGATTTCTCTCTCTATTTCCAGGTGGAGTCACCACATTTGTGGCACTGTATGATTACGAGTCCAGGACAGCGAGTGATCTGTCCTTTAATAAAGGGGAACGATTACAGATTGTTAATAACACGTAAGTATGAAATTAGCTGACCTCACTGGAATTTATTGTGGCTATAGTATTTGCTGAACAACAGTTTCTTTCAGAGATAACAAGGTGTAGAGCTGGATGAACACAGCAGGCCAAGCAGCATCATAGGAGCAGGAAGGCTGATGTTTCGGGCCTAGACCCTTCAGAGTAGTGTTTTTTACCCTTCTTCCTCCGTTTGTCTTTAATATTATTATCTGAGGAGATGCAATTAATCTGATGAATCTTCCTGACCAGTTCAGATTTTTTGGATTAAGTTAATTATTTAGGATTGAGTTCCAAACTGAATATTATGTATCTGAGTTTAACCAATTTACATGTTAACATTTTGGCCAGTTTAAGTGGCTTTGAATGGACAATTCTATCATTTTAAAGAAAGGGCTGTTCAGATAGAATGGGGCTGTTTACCAAATTCTACCCTTTCTGTGGATATTCAACAAGTAGCCTGTCAAATATTTAGTGCACACCCTCATATTAGCAAATGCCATGCACTGCCATCAGCAGATTACATTGTTGGACAAGTAAAAGTGGCTTAAAAGCTCTTTTGGCATCTAATACATTCCTTTGATGAACTTTGTGTGCCTGACATTCCTTTCACTTGCCTTCTGTGGAGTTTATGTCAACCACTGCTAACCTTGCAATTAAGATACCATTTTTGAGTTGATCAAAACTTTAGCGTCTGAATTAATCTAACCATCCGCCCGTAATGATTTTTAAAAATCCCTTGGTGTCTTTTTCTCAATTGTTTTACCTTAATTTATTACTGTTTAATTTACTGTTGAGCATTTGGGAAACCCATTTCAGTGTTTGACAGAGTGGTAGGGTCAAATCATATCCAGTTTTATATCGTTCTTGCTCAGTTTTATTAAAGGCACATGCTTTATGCTATTTCTAATATATTGTCAAGCCACATCAACTGAAATACGACTGAGCCTATTGTTTAATTGAAATTGTATAGAACATTACCATGCCTCCAAAAAATATCTTTTAAAAACTGCACAGAAAGCAATTTTGAAATGCAAACTCTGCAGGTTAATGTTTGGCCAAGTTGTCCATAGCAAAATCCCATGAACACCAGTCCATTGATTCATCTGTTTTGGTGATGGCAGCTGAGTGTTGAGCTTCTTTGCTCTTTTGAATAGTGTCTTTTATCTCCCTGAACAGGGATTGTGGTCGCTAATGTTCTCATCTCATATAATACATTGATTCATTAGGACTATATTGAAATGTCAACTAAGATTAAGTGCTCGAGCCCCCCCCCCCCCCCCCCCATTCAAAGTTGCTACTAACTGAACCAAGTTGTTCACTTTCATCTAACAGTAAGGGCATTGAGTCCAATATAAGGTTATAGTGTATGCCCTGCTGAGCTTGCTTGGTGTGGTCACCACCAGGCAGCAGGAAAGCCATTCCGGAAAAGACCTTATCCTGTACTCTTTGAACAGTTAACAAAGGAGATAGTATTCTGTTGTTTAGGGTGACTGTGTCAACAACGTCCATTTTAGCAGCTGTCAGGAATTCTGTGTGTTTGTGAGTAGGTAGGCAGGATAGGATACTTTCTTCAGTTCTCAACATGTCCTCACATGTTATATTTCTTCAATAGCCAAAGGAATATGTGTGTAACTTACTCCTGATCATGTACTCATACCATTGGGATTAAGTTTGACTTTAAATACTTCCATGATGGAATCTTGTGACCTCGACTCAGCTGCTCAATTTAGAAATGCAATTACAAATATGAGGTTAGTAAAGAGGCAAGGAATCACTGTCATGGTCATTCTTCCATTCTGTTTTCAAAGACTTAGTGTTAGTAGGCAATGTAGTTTAGAAGATAAATTTTATGAAATGGAAAATGGTTGTAAAAGAAGATAAAATTAATTTATCTTTTCTTTATTTATTCACAGGATGAGGGCATTGCTGGCTAGGTAGCATTTATTGCCCATCCCTCATTGCCCAGAGGGCAGTTAAGAGTCAGCCACATTGTTGTGGATCTGGAATCACATGTAGGCCAGACCAGCTGAGGATAGCAGTTTCCTTCCCTAAAGCACATTAGTGAACCAGATGGGTTTTTCCGACAATCGATTCATGGTCATCATTAGATTCTTAATTCCAGATATTTATTGAATTCAAATTTCACCATCTGCCATGGCGGGATTTGAACCCAGGTCTCCGGATGTTATCTGGGTCTCTGGATTAACAGGCCATCGCCTCCTCCAATTAATTAATTTAGTAATTATTACTACCCTTCCTGAATAACAATGAATATAACTGTCAGTGAAGTGACTATTAGTGAAATAATTTTTCCACATTATGGCTGAATTTCACCGTCTGTTCAGTTCATCATCCTTTTTTCCCAGTGTAAATTACTTCCACTGAGTTAATGGATAGGGCATGGATCATGATTGAGCTCGTAATTCTATAATCTTCACATTTGAAATCCTCAGGATTCTTGATACAGTTCAGTATAAATTCATTTGGAATGTGGTGAATGTAAGATTTTCTAGATATTACTTTGACCTACATTTGGCTTAAATTGATCTTTAAAACTAAGGTTTCGGAAGAGGGTTATGGAGTATGTTTGCATATGTTATATCTTGTGTATAAGGGAGAAGGCAGTGAAGTGGTTATGTGGACCCACAACCAGATACAGCTGGTGGAAATGGAATTCAGCTAGTAAGTGTAGAATATAAAACTAGTCTCAGTAACGGTGTCCATGACATTGTCAGGATGACATTGTCATCAATTGTCACAAAACCCCATTTAATTTACTAATGTCCTTTATAGAAAGAAGTCTGCCAACCTTAACCTGGTCTGGCCTAAGTGTGACTCCAGATCTACAGCAATGCCATTGACTGTTAACAGCTCTCTGAAATGACCTATTAAGCCATGCAGTTCAAGGGCAATTAGGGATTGGTAACAAATGTTAGCATTTCTAATCACCCACATCCCATGAAAGAATTGTTCCTATGATTCATGTTTCTGTCAGGAATAGTCCTTTACAAAATATTACGTATGTGATGTTGGTTTAAATTGCCTCTCCATATTTTGTTAGAATTTCAGTGTTATAAGAAGAGATACTGCCACTTTACAGAAACTTTATCAGACCATTCCAAGCTGCCATTAATGCTTATATCTTCTGCACTTTTGGATGAAAGTCTATAGGAATTCTGTATATTTTTTGTTCATCTTTTACCGTATTCATCGCAGCCCCTCAACTCATCAATTTTCTTATGATGGAGATAGATTGACTCTTCATACTTTTGTATCTGCTAAAGAAAAGGAAACAGTAGATTTAAATTAAAAAGAAACAAAAGCACTTTTGGGATAATTTTGGACTTCAGTGTTAGTGTGAGACAGTTAATGCTGACTGAGCATCCTCTTATAGTATTTTGAATCATACTGGTCAAATAACTATGTTATGACACACATCTATGGCAGGTGAGACTTGAACTCAGGTCTCTTGGCTCAGAGACAGAGGCATCACTGCTGCACCACAGGAGTCCTAAAAATGAACCATCATTCCCTGACTGGGATTTGAACCCAGCATGCCTCCTTTTATACAATTCCCCAATGAAGTTGGTGCGAGTAAAAGTTAAGAGAGATATACAATGAGTGATTGAATCAGATGTGCCCTTTTCTTTGGTGTCCTCAATCAAAATTGACTCTTTTGTGTTCATATTTCCTAAGAATGTGACACAACGTTTTGTTGAGAGAATGTTATAACCTCTTGCTGTTCATGGCATATCTACTATTTTTGTTACATTTGAAATTTCTAGATTGGAGTTGTTGGAGAAAGAAGTGTTTTTGAACTTGTATGTTGCTTTAATGAATGCTAAATTGTAACTACTGCTGACCTTTAAAAGCATGACTTGTACAACATAGGTATAATCTAATTCCCTTTTCTTTTTTCACATGCAACATTGACTAAATTTAGGAGATTGGATGGCAGGTCTGTATGATATCTATATTTATCCTTTTTTAATATGTTGTCCCTTTATGGATTTACACAACTGCTGAGTGCAACCACTGTAGATAGCCTTTCCCTTGGTTGGTAAAGAGATTTCCCCAACTCTACATAGTGGACCAGGGGGGAGGGTTTTCAACCTTTAAAGATGAGGACATCTGTTGCATATGTTGTATCAGCTCCTGTGGCGACCACTCCTCCACTCACCCAGAGAGCAGGCAAAACTTTTAAACTTCATCATAGAGTGTCAACTAGGAGGGCAATGAATTGGCTGCTTCTCTGCCTCCTACCTGATCATAACCAGGCCCAAAAGACATGCTGAGCAGCTACAAGTCATGGTACAACCCACTGAAGTTGACTTTTGAGCTATTGTGCTATCATTGTAGTAAACCATATTTGTTAATGTCCAGTAATGGCAAGAAATGATCTAGCAACTCAACATGTGAAAAAAAAGACTGAGAATAGGGCAGGGATCTACTGATTCTATAAACAAGTGGAGCCCTTGGGGCCCAGAGTCTTCTGTTTGAAAACTTATGCTGTTGAATGAACAGATTGTACATTTGAACTCATAGCTTCTAGAGATATGCACTTAATGCCTTGCCACTCTTTGAGAGCTGTTGTCAGTTATCTATAAAGCAAGCTTCCTGCACAAAAACATTTTGCACCAAAACAATTTGAATGCAACATTTATATATTGTGAATTAAGTGTGGAAACAAATGTAAATGAGCATCAGTTTGGGTTTTGTTGATATAGTGTGCCCAACTGTATTGTGCCTCCAAACATGCACTACCTCTCCATGCGTGACACTACTCAGGCAGGGGACAGATTGGTGTTGAGCTAGCCTTTAGTGAAACTTTCTGATGTACATGCTGTCAGTGAAATCAGCCTGTGGCTGTGATTTAGAATTATTGCAGATAAATAAGTCTGTGGTGTAGATTCACTTTGATCTGTTTCTGTGCTCACAGCATGTGGCTGCCTGCCTGAAATAGCTGAGATTCAGCATTTGGAGACTATCCTGAAAAT